AGAACCCTCATTCCGCGCAACGGGGGATGATCGCACCACGTTGTGTTAAAATGGTCAAGCATCCTCGAGGCAGTTACACAGTGCGTACAACTGTCTCTGGAAGTGAAAGCCCCAGAAAATAAATTAAGTCATACGCAGCTGTCATCCGTACGCAAGGAAGTAAGCACAAGATGCCGAACACCCTTAGCAGGATGCAGATCCCCCTTCATGCGACTCCCCAAATCCCTCAGGGCGTTTCGCGCTTGGTGATGTGAGACCCTGGTCCGGTGAGACCCCGGCGTGTTCCGTCCCGGCTTTGTAGGGATGCGAGGTCAATGGCCAAACGATTACGGCATGCACGACTATGAGTACCCCCCCCCCCCCCCGTGAAATCTCGAATCCTGTACACACATTGCAAAACCCATCCCTGTCACTTTCCCTCTGTTCTTTCATACAAATCCATTGTTTTAGGGAGCTTGTCTGTACTACACCTGGACACGGCGATGTTATTTCGTCGTTGTCAGGGTGATGCAACGAACTGCTATCTTGACAGGAGCCAACTTGCAGAGAGCACCGAACGCCATCGAGCCAAATGCCAGCGACAAAAACACTATCCGCCTTGGCGCTCTTCCGTTTCTTCAACGGAAGGGGGGATTGCAGATTGGGAAGGTCCGTGTAGGGGGATCAAGTGCTAAACGGCAAGGCGTCCGCGGTATGGCATGCGGTTGACACTCATCTCTCGCCCACGGTGGCGTTCTACCTAGGGACTATACAGGGGGGGGGGGGGGGGAGGGGGCATCGTAGGTCGGGAGCGTCCGTGACGGGGGTCAAGTGCCAAAACGGCGGTTGAGACTCAACTCACCTCTCGCTTGGTGAGGAGCTCGGAGGCGTTGTACTTAGCGACCACGGCTTTGGTCACCTCGTTCACGATGGACGGCAGCACACGCTCATCGTAGTCTGGTTTGGTCGGTCCACGGAGTGTCCGTACCCCAAGAAACACACACACACATTCAAAACACCAACAGGAGCAGCAGCAGCCGCAGTGGCAGCAGCAGCAGAGGCAAAAAACAAAACAAAAAAACACGCACACAACCCAAAAGGAGCAGCAGAAGCAGCAGCAACAACAACAACAACAACAACAACAGGAGGTGTGGCAAAAGGACGAGTAAGGGATTACGGGAGAAGCCGAGCGGAAGCCGTCCGAAACAGGGGTGAACTTGCGAAAAAAAAAAGGAAGCTCTCGACGATCCACTTCTGCAAACGTGGTCGCCTGCGCAATCGGTTCCCCGGACCATGCACGGCAGCAGCCATGGGCGACGCATGGAAGCAACACAGCCAGGCACACGTACAGAAAGTACTAACTAGTGAGAGGCCCGACGCAACGGTGCAGTCAGGTGCGCCATAGTACCGGGGGTGAAATTGGCTGGCACAGATGGAATATAACCAGGATGGTAAACGCAATGGATGGTGCGGGTGCACTATACTATTAGTACGGGTGAAAAATGGCTGGCACAGATGGAACAACTAGCATGGTTTAAGGTAAAAAAACAATAATGCGGGTGCCCGCTACAGCGCGGATCAAAAGCGCTTGACACATCTGAAGAGGACACCCGCCGGCAGTGTCGGGATGTCGGGATGCCCGAACATCTCAGCCGCGAGTCCTTCGCTACGGCAGCTACAACTAGAGAGACAAGGAAAGGACGACGAGGACGAGGACGACACTTACCCTTGCCCAACCTGCGGTAGATGAAGGGGAGCTTGAAGGGATCGGGCTTGGTCAGCACACGGAGCGTGATGCTCACCATTTGCAAGTCCTTAGACCCAGTTAGCGACTAAAAAGAAACGGGGGGGGGGGGGGA